AATTATAACACTTTAATTTATTTTCTGTTTAATTTTTTTTTTATTTCAGATTATATTTTGCTCATTGTACTGTTCAGACTTTGGTATGTGCTGGAGTTCTATGGCTGTTATGGATTATATTGAAATTCATTTTCCTTTCATAGTTTAAGTAATTAGTTTTTAAACTGTTTGTGTTAAAATATTAGGTTTATTTTATTTTTAAGGGTTTTTATAATAAAAAAAAATCATTATCATGGTTTAGAAGAATAATATAATTGATTGAATTTGGAATGTTACTTAATAGGTTTATGAAATTATATTTTTAATTATAGAGAGAATATTTCCATATTTCATATTTGATCATATCTCCCTTATATAGGTACTCATTTTGCTTCTCTGTAGTATGTCTGATAGAATTATTCAAGATTTGGATTCCAAAGATATCTGGGGGCTTCATAAAACTGATTTGAAGATGCATACGGACATGCAACGGAATACAATTACAAATTATATTCTAACCTAATTTACTCAGCTGGGTAACGATGACCATATGCCTGTTGTAGTGAAGCAGACCAGAATCTTTGGTGGAATTCGAACCAGAACTACCAACTAGCCTATCGGGGAACCAGGGATTTGGAATAGGGGTCACACTTAAAGTATTTGTGGAACCTGATTTTAAAAGTTCTTGTCATTTCTAAATTATTTTGATTCTACGCTCTGATCCTCAATATAATAATTGAAAATTTAAATTCGTTATTTAAATAATTAAGTAATTAGAAATAATTATAATATTTATGATAAAATATATAAATATGAACTTTTGTGCGTTTTATAGAAAACAATAGCATTTATTTCCATTGAACTAAATAAAATCTACTATTGCAAGTAATAAGTATGTTATTATTCGTAAACCTGTTGCTCTGTTCCTAATAATTGTAATTTATTCCAGCGATTAATATTTCATCATAAACTTGAGTAGCTACGTCTATAACTAATTGTTTTTGTTTTCTTTCTAATTTTTGCATTAATTCGTTATTTAAATTCTACAAACAATATTTCAAATGTTTCCCCCCTGTAATTTATTTAATTATATTCTTATTCAACGTCTAGTCAATCATCACTTCAACACGTTTATCTTTAATGATCAATTTAGTTATTTAAAAATGAAAATCTTAATAAGTTTAATATTATTTATAAAAGTAAACATTTTTTGAGAATTTTGTTAAATCTGTTATATGTAGATAAGACATTTTGACTACTTCCCAGCAAAAAAATGGTAATGACTTGTACTTACTCAACAACTCACTTATTGAAGACTACTACATACCGTCTGCATTACTTCGAGGAAGTCTAGTAATTATTTATAAATAATATTATAAGTAAGTACTTACTTACTAGCATTGATATTTTAATATAGAAGCAGTGGATCTTCTAAAACAACTAACTAAACTCCTTACTTGTAAGTGATCGAGGTAAAACTTAACTCCCGATATGTAAGCGAGCGTGATGAGTACTTGCCTCCAATGTTATCGCCGTGTGAAAAAAATTACTTGTGTAAGTAAATTTAAGCATTTTAACCCCTTACTTTTCAATGTAATTTATTGCGGGGTATGTATCCCTTATGCAATTTATTATCATTACGTTTGAATATTTATGGCCTGAAATTAATCTAATTTTTACCTTTTGCACTTTATTATATGGATTTAAATGTTCGATAGGTAACTGCTTAACAATCTCGTTGGTAGTTTCATTAGAACAAATTAAAATTAATATGCACTTTGGATTTCTATAAATACTTTAATTTAGTAACATTGTTGTTGAATTGTTTTAATAATAATTGGTTTAAATTTATTGAAATAATATGATCGAATACACATGTTTATGTATGCATATAAAATAATTGAAATGTGAAAAAAATTACTTTAATTTAATTGTCCAATTCACAATGGGCGTTGTGACGTTGTAAGCCATACATTTTATACCCTACACTACTATAGTGGGTAGGATATTATGCGTTTGTGCTGATGTTTTTAACACTCAAAAATCTTGGTTCTACACCCACCTTAAAGTATACTAATCGGCTCAGACTCACTTTCTGAGTCGATTTAGCTATGTCCGTCTGTCTGTTTGGCCATGTAAACTTTGTGCGTACGCTACAGGTCGCAATTTTCAACATAATTTTATGAAATTTGGCACGTACTCTTCTTTTGACCCAAGGCCTATAGAAAATGGTTCAAATGAGTTCATTATTTCGCATAGCCCCCATACAACCGTGCCCCCAGAATAGGGCTTTTGAGCTCATAGATATGTTAAATGTTCTTGTATCACTTTAAAAATCGGCAAAACTTGATGTCTTAATGATACTCCTGATTTTCGTAATGATTGAATTCAAGAAACCTATGAGTTCAAGTATCATAAATTCAAATTTGTACAAACTACCTTATTCCCCAGAACGACTAGAGTATATTAGCAAAATATAAATTTTTAAAATGAACCAGAAAAACACCGTGACATTTAAACATACTTCTGAAACATAGAATCTAATGATATAATACTCAATTTCAAAAGCTTATGTCAAAATAAGGAAATAAGCATTACAGTTTGCTGTTTGAACACGTACTTACAGTGTTATTAGCTTATTAAGCACTTATTCCATACAAAATACCTATTACAAACCGTTTATTCTTACTAATATAATTTTTATATATTTATTGACATCAAAAACTATTGCAGTAGACAATAGAGTTGACTATAGACCATCCAATTAACAAGGTAGTCAAATGTCAAGTTATTATAAAATTCATAGACTTCTTCATAGGTAATTTAATAGTCTAGTCCATAGAATATATTATTACACAATATATCACAAAAAATCTGAAAATTATATTAGTACTTTTAATCCTAACTAAATAAGTCCCAATTTCGGAAAAAGTTTGCACTACACATTTCAAAGGTTCTTGCCTGATTTCGTTTAAAAATATTTTCAGCGATTTTTTCTTTTATACCCATACAGTTTGATCGTATATTTGTTGAATAAAAATTTCGTAATAATTTGTAATTTTTAATGATTACTTCATATTAGGGATGCCAAACGGTACTGGCTTTTACAAATCCCGGGATTCGGGATTTTGAAAATTGCAATCCCGGGATATTTCGGGATCCCGGGATTTTTCGGGATTTCGGGATTACATGAATTTAATTATTTTATATATGAAAATCTTTAAATCATCATATTTGTAAAGAAAATTGTTTAATTTTGTGGAAATTTAGCAGACAGAAGATATATTTAAATTAAAACAATCCGATTAATTCCAATTTTTAAATAAAAACTTTCAGAATTGCATAATTTCTGAAACTTTTTAAATACATACTTACTTCCTAAATAAAAGTAAATAAATATCATGTTCCGAAATTAGACATAAGCACTTTTTAAAACCTCATAATGTTCCATGTGAACTAATAATTATAACAGATACAATTATTCGAACATCAATTTAGAACCTATTCTTTGAAAAATATTTGGAATTTACACAAAATACATATTAGTTTTGGAACATGTTATTATATTCGTAGTATTAATATAAAATTGTATGTGCATTCAGAAGAAGGTAATTTACCTTTACCGGTATCACTCAGATTTGTAGAAAGTTAGAAATGTAAAATCCTCTAGTATTGAAAAATAAAGTTTGTATTCGACTGTGCCGAAATTAAATACCCACCATCAAAATATTGAAATGTATTGATATTAATAACAGCATCAATGTGATTTTCAGAGGAGGTACAATTAGGTTTTCTTGTGTCAATTTTGGTAAAATTTGGAGCCCTAATAGAATGAGTCTTCTAACTCGTGTTTTCAGCTTACAGACACAGAATGTGTGTACTTTTTGGGTCGGTCTACGACCAACATTTCGATGTGTTAACAAGTAAGAAGTTATAGTTGGGCGAAGCCTACCATATAATACCCTACACCAGTTATAAAAATAAAATGTGATTTATTGTTCATAATAAAGCATCTAAGTTGGATTGTACCTTGCCTCAGATATACTTTAGCTATTTTTTGTTGAATAAAATTGTGTACATTTAAGTCATATTTCGAAGGGGGCTTTGTATAGGAGCTAGGGTCAAGGGTAGGCCGTATCATCAAAAAATACATCAGGGTCATGAAGGCTAGTATAGATTTTTGTCGAGATACGAGTATATTGAACATAATTATGAACTTAAAAGCCCTATTCGGGGGGTTCAGTTGTATGGGGGCTAGGTCAAATATTCGACCGATGTTACCCATTTTCAATAGGATCCGTCTCTAGTACAATAGAAGATCATGCAAAATTTCATTGAATTATCTTAAAAATTGCTGTAGTTTGATTACAAGGTTTACACGGACAGACGGACGGACATAGCTAAATCGACTCAGAAAATGATTGGTATATTTTAAAGTGGGTATAGGACCAATATTATTGTGCGTAACAAACATCAGCACAAACCCAATATACATTCCCCACTAAAGTGGTGTAGGGTATAAAAACGAAGTGAATATATAAATTTATATGTGCTATGTGTATTAAATCATACCACTTTAAAAAATAAAAGGTTCAAATATGTATGAAATTAGCTCTGCGGAATTTAGTTTTACATGAGTCGAAAATAAAATAAGATCGTAATTTTCAAATTAATGAAAATTATGGCTCAAAAAAAGAAAATAAAAATAGTTTTTGAAACAAATCCCGGTATTTATTTTGAAAAATCCCGGGTTTCGGGATATCCTAATCCCGAAAAAACCCCGGGATTTACTTTCCAAATCCCGGGATTCGAGATTTGCCAATCCTGAAAAATCCCGGGATTTTCGGGATCGGGATTGGCATCCCTACTTCATATGTATAATCTGCATCTGATTAAAAGTAGTTTACTAGTTGCTGGTATATAATGTGATATTTCAATTAGTTGCGTTTTTAATTTCTTAGAAAATGAAGGAAGAACACTTCATTAGAGTTAACTTGTAATATATACAATCATTTTCATATTTAAAAAATTAAAACACTAACGGAAAACTTACGATTATTAGATGAATTTATAATTTTAACAGTATTATTTTGTATGGTAAAAATGTTTGTAAATAAACATAAAGGATTCTGTGTAACATCCTCCAGAGCACTATACGACGTATATGTAGATGTTAAAGTTGCTAGCAATGGGGATGACGATGATGAAGATGAACTTTGAGCTTTGGGACAGCATAATAAACAGCAAACAGAAGTAAACAGTATAATAACAAACATAAAAGATGCCAACATCTTGTTTTGAAATTTATATTTTGGCGCACTTTTTTTAGAATAAAAGAATATAAACTCGAACACAATGTTAAAATGTTGAAACAAAATTTTGCATAAAATTCAAATTTTAAAAAAGTTTTATTTTTTTTTGGGAAAATAATTTATGTTAACTACACATAAGTTTAAGTATTTCTTAATTTCTTTATTTTATGTTATTGCTTAGCGATGCGTTTCACAAGACAAACCAATAGAAACTGAAAAACACAGTTGGCGTTTAAACTATTTTATATGAAGTACATGATGCTAGTAACATCATTATGTTCTTCTTCATCATAATCATTACCAACATCATCTGTATAATTTCTTCAACTTCTTTTACATTTTAGTTCCTTCTTTTTTCGGAAAACAAAATGTTTAAAAACTCATGCAAAATTTGTTCTGTACACTTGCACTATGGGAAGAGCACATTCTTTTAAAGAAATTAAATGGTTGACTATACAATACATATTAATACAGTTATCCAATTTGAACAAAATTTCTTATCAGTACATATTTTGTTGTAAATTTTTTCAATACTAAAATATAAAAACCAAACTCAATGAAAAATTTGTATGACAAACTTACATATGTGGAGGATTTCATGTCAAGTGACCCAACTTTGGAAACCAATATCTTCCGATCGGAATGACATTTGTACCAATGCTATATTGAATAGTTGTCGGGACAAAATTTTTTTAACAGTATCGATCAAGATCGGAAACAAAGAAATGCCCTTTCTTAGTCTCTGAAGAACCTTCAAGATTGAAGAGATAGCTATCTAAGCTATTTGGAACAAATTTTGCCAAGAACAAGAGGTAAAAAGCTATATTGATGAGAAGAAGCACATGTTTGGCAAAAATATCATATATTGACCCACTGTAACTCAGAGAGTTCTTGACCGATCTTGTTGGAAAATTGTGTCTAAACTACTATCCAATACGACTAACATTGGAGCATCCAGATCGGAAGAGATGGGTTTTAAAAGTTGGGTCACTTGACATATAGTGATCAAAAATATCGATTTTGTTTTGGGTGAGTCTTATGTTTAAAAATTACACTTAGCCCCGTTAACTCCACCTCTGGTTATCGTTTAACCTGTAGATATTCTACCGGTTAAAATATATTTTATATGAAAACTGTCAATTTAACCTTAAGATAAAATATAACCAGACATTGAGATAAAGGGGGTTAGTGGTGTAACTTTTTTTTATTTCTTAAAAAATAATGTCATAATTTACACAGGACCATTGTGCTAATCTAGTGAGAGTATAGAATAATAAAAAGTATTAAAAATACTATAAAAGAAGAAACTCATTCATAGAATTAAGTGTAGTACAGAGTATAAAAACGAAAATAAATAAAAACAATTCGCAAAAAGAGCAACAGCAACAAGAATAATAAAAATGTTAAAGAAGTATAAAAACAACAGGACTCCATAAAGTGAGAATACAAAAACAAATAAGAAATTACAAATGGATATGTCCGACTATAAGATAACTTATACTAGACAGTTTTGGAAATGACTCTATTTCTTATGATTTACATGTTTATAATGTTTATGTCGAGTTATATTAGGATTCCCGTTCGATAGATCCTTCGTGATACAGTAATGATATTATTACGAGATTTATGAGTGTTAGTGTGTTTAGCACTCGGGTCGAAACTTATACTTTTAAGATTTTTAATTCGGTAAAATAATATATATAAAAACATCGCCGATACGAATGCCCTGATGATAAAAATTCAGAATATGCATATGACACCGAAATCACAAATTCATATTATGAAAATTGCAAATGGAATGGCAAATTTATATTATACCCCCAACGCTCTGGTGAAGGATGTAAATTGGAGTTTAACAAAACGTGTGAGTGTAAATGTAGACATGTAGTCAGCCAAACACGAAACACTATACCAATACATACAATTTACATAATGACATTAGGATGGGTCCATTTGTATAATGTCAACAAATGTTGTCAAAAAATTCCAACAAAACTAAATCGAATAGTAAAAAGGATATTTTTTTATATTTTTTATAAACAGTTACAAACGCATAAAAAATTATTTCGAAACAAATTCTTGATAATTCCACGCCTTCCTAATTTCCATATGTGTCTGTAGTCTAACTGTATTTAAGGCAAAATAACACAAAAAAACAACAGTTACTAATATAATCACAACTACTATTCCTACTACTACAACTGCTACAACCACTTCCGTAGCTTAGGTTCATTTCCGTATCCGTTTAAAATTAAGGCCAAATATCAACTATAAAGTCTTTGTTAATAAAGAGACAAACTATAGTTTTTTAATAGACTTACAATTATTTGTATTTAAGAGTATATAAAATGAAATCATTTGTAATATTATGTTGTGGTTATTTTTTCAATTGAATGTGTTTTTTTTGTTGGCATTAATCTTGTTAAAATTAAATATTAATGTAGGTTTGAAAATGTAGAATAGTTGTTGTAAAGTTTAAATATTTAAACGAAAGTCAAGTTCTTAAAAGTTTGTCTCGATGGTTGATAAAATTGAGTTAGATTTCTATTGAACCCTATGACCAACAAATATATAATATATATTTTATATAATGTATTTAAAGAAATCATATTAGTTCACTTACCCTCTTTTAACCCTTTCGAAAGTTTAGAATTTTCCATTATATTAAATGCTAAAATATTGTTATTTGGTTTCTTTAACGATGTATGAATTTCTCCCACTACAATTGGTGAATCTAAGGAAATAATATAAAAATACTTTACAAATTTATTAAAGAAATATACCAACTAATCTTCTGCCCACCTGTTGCTATACTATTTATAAAATCATTTTGTATAAATTTAAACTTTCCTCTAAACCCTTTGGATGTAATATTCGAACTGGCATTAAATTCAATTAATAAATCGGGACCAGTACTGAGGATATGGCGTGTGGTGGTAAGCATACCGCATAAAACATCAATAACAGCATTCATATTGGCGGATTCAGCATCAAATATTGTGAGTTTATCTAAATTACAACTGAAATGGTATAAATTCGTTAAAATGGTAAATTATTTCCCTTTTTAAAAGTTTAAATTAAAATAGTACTAACTTATAATAAAATAGTACTTTTTTAGATTTTAAAGTACTAAATTAATTTTCAGGTAGACTAGACTGTAGACGAGACTATTGAATAGACTCTATACTAGACTAGATGACAGGCTGGACTATAGACTATACTAGACTAGCTTATAGACTAGACTAGTCTATAGACTATAGAGTAGACCATAGTCTAGGCAATATACTAGACTATAGACTAGGCTATAGACTAGAGTATAGACTTGGCTTAAGACTAGGCTATATAGTAGACTACAGATTATACTATAGACTAGGCTATATAATAGAGTATAGACTTAAGATTAGGCTATAGAGTAGACTAAAGACTACACTATAGAATAGACTACTGACTAGACTATAGACTAGACTATAGTCCAGACAAAAAACTAGGCTATAGTATAGACTGGACTGTAAACAAGCCTATAGACTAGACTATGGACTAAATTATATACTGGGCTTATAATAAAATAGTACTTTTTTAGATTTTAAAGTACTAAACTAATTTTTAGGTAGACTACACTGTAGACGACACTATTGAGTAGAAAATAGAATGGACTATAGACCAGACTATAGACTAGACTCTCTACCAGACTAGACGATAGGCTGGACTAGACTAGCTTATAGATTAGACTAGTCTATGGACTATAGAGTAGACCATATACTAGGCAATATACTAGAGTATAGACTAGGTTTAAGACTAGACTATATAGTAGACAACAGACTAGACTATAGACTAGGCTATAGACTAGAGTATAGTATAGAGTATAGACTGGACTTAAGACTAGGCTATAGAGTAGACTACAGACTAGAGACTAGACAATAGTCGAGACAATAAACTAGGCTATAGTATAGACTGGACTGTAAACTAGCCTGTAGACTAGACTATGGACTAAATTATATACTGGGCTAGAGACTAAACTTACTAATTAACTATAGACTAGAATTGACTAAAAACTAGTCTATTAACTACTATATGGACTTCTATGTATATCAGAAGTTTAAATGTTAGAAAAAGTAAAGAAAATATCGTGGGGGTACTGTGGTACTTTCAAAAAGTAATGAAAAATACTAATGTACTGAATTTTCCATGCCTGCTTTTTAAGATATCATATATCTATAGCTATAAGTATTATAATTAAAACCAAGCCCTGTATTCGAGGAACCAATTACGTAACTAGTTCTCTTTAATAAGTGAACAATTAAATATTAGTTTACCTGGTTCCTTTTCTGGGTATGCGTAATTCTTCAAATATAACTTCTACACGAGTTTCGGGTCTGTAAATGAACCGATTAAATATATAGATAAAGTTCAATATCCTTAAATGAAAAACTCACCTGCCAATAAATTTATAAGAGCACTTAATATGACTAGGATATTTGGCGGGAAAGCGAGGTGAATGGAAATATTTCCATATATCTAAGGAATTAGGAGGCACTTCGGGATTAGCAAAGAAATAATAATCACAATAGGTGCCCGGTATAAGACGGCCATCATTTTTAAAATTGTCTAAATAAAAAAATTAAAATACATTTACAAACATAAAAGATTTTTATGTAAAACTTTACCTTTTTTTAAAAATCGATATTCCACACTAACATTTAAATGCCAATTATCGATTTTTGGCGGCAGAGGTTTAGCGAAACGTAGACGTAAGGCGAATATTTTACCCGAACTATAAATAAATTCATATGGCGGTAAATCATCTATATTCATGATGGTTGTGGTGGCAGTGGAAGATATATTGGCATACGAGCCAATATTAGACATGGTAAATGGACTGGATACATTTTTATTATAGATGATGTTGTTGATGCTGGTGTTGTTATTTTTGTTATTGTTGCTGCTTTTGCTACTTTGTGGCGACACTATTTTGTTTGAGTGTGTTTGATTACAAAATATATACTCTGGTAGTGTGGTATTTTCAACAACTGGTTCACGTAAATATGGAAAAATCTCAATATAATCTAAACAGCTGCAATTGAAAAAGAACAAGAACATTTATTGAGCTATAAGATTATCAATAAATGTGGACAAAAAGAAATGTTTAAGTAAAAGTGTTTAATATACATAAATTGTGTCGAAAACGGATGTTGTCATTTATGTTGGAAATAAAACGGAAGAATGAAAATTGAGTTATACAAAAATTTAATAAGATTTAAAATCAATAACATGTTTATTAAATTAAAATTCAAATAAATATATAAGAGACAATTATGAATAAATTAAATGATTTAAGATTTGTAACGCTTTGTATATGGCGTTAAGTTATAATTAAATTAGAAATTTTAGGTTTTTTTCCTTCAGTTTCAGTTATTTTTAAAATTATTCTGTAGTTTCTTTGCGCTTTCTCACACCACTTAATAGACGACAAAAGGCTGGATAATCAATCATGGGTGGATCTTCCAAATTTTTCGATTTCACTAATGGTGCATGCCGCAAAGCTTCTTGTGCCTCAGCCAAAGACATTTTATCACCAAAGTTGGTCAATTCTTCATACATTCTAATTAAGAAAATTAATTGCTCAGTCGATAAATTTGATTTTGTTAAGTATAATACTCACTTCCTTTCCTCAATTTTTCCCGTACCATACAGATCCCATTTACTCCAGGCCTCTAGCAATACATCTTCGGGATCTAGTTCTACAGTACGATGACTCATTAATTCCACAAATGCGTCTACGTTTAAGGGTTCTTTGGCCTAAAATATAGTTTTATTTTTACGATTTTATTAAAATTTAAGTTTGATTGCTTACTTCTTTTAACATTTCTTCCAACATTTCTTCGGTAACTTCGGAACCTAAAGCCCCAAAAGTAAATCGTAAATCATCTTTCGATATCAATCCATCGCAATCGGTATCAAATAATAAAAATACCTATTTTTGGAAAAAAAGAAAAATTAAAATTTTCTACGTGCTACAGGGTTCAGGCGAACTTTAAGTCTGATATTTTTACTTTACAAACAAATCCGTTATTTATAAATATTATTGATTTTTGGAGAGATAAAAGAACATTTAATATATTTATGAGATCGAAAGTCCTATCCGAGGGAACGTTTGTATGGGGGCTAGGCGAAATAATGGATTTAAACCATGGATTTTAACAAATTTCATCAAATTTTCATGAAAATTACGACCTGTAGCGCACGCACAAGGTTTACATGGACACACGGACAGATAAAGTGATTCTGAGACGATTTGTATACTTTAAGTTGGGTGTAGAACCAATATATTTGGGTTTTACAGACATCAGTACAAACGCATAATACCCTCCCCACTATAGTGGTGTAGTGAATAAATATATGTAAGTTGCTGAAGGAACGCAAACAGTTAAGCAGAACAGGACACCGCACAGAAAAAAATATGCACATTTTTTTTCTTAACAATCGTTTGCTTAAATTTAATTTCGATTTTTATAAATACTTTTATTTGGTTTTATAACGAATTTGTTTGATTTTCACGTAGAAGGAAAATTTTTGTAACAAACACTTTATTGAAATAAATTTAATTTTCAGTAAATATTTTTACTGGTTCAATAAATGTTTTTGTTTGAGTTTTATTTATATGTCAGCATATGGAATACAACAATAAAACTAGTTTTGGAATGTACTAAAATGAATTGATATAATTCTTACTTGGTTTATAACATTTAATGTATAAGTGTTTCAGTTTTCACAGTACAAATAATAGTATCTAGAATGTGAAATAGTTTTGTTGTAAGTATATAAGTACTTTTTTCTACAAATTTTAATTTTATGGAATTAGTAAAATTTTTATTAAAATTCAATATATATTTTTTAACAAAATTTTTATAGATTCAATAAGGAATTTTGTGTATTATTATTGACAAAATACAATAAATAATTTATCTGTTTCAGATAAAATAATTGCTTAAATTTCAGTACAAATACAAATAATTTGCGTTATTGTTTTAATAAAATAATTGTTTGGAAATGTTGCGAATATTTATTAATGTTTTTCGTAAATAGTATATTATTTTAATAAGAAAAATCCTGAAATTTTTTCAATAAAGAATTTACGAATTTGAGTACTTGATTTTACGAATTTCGTGATAGGTCCTATTTTAGTTAAAAAAATACTTGGCTTTATGAATTTTTTGTTTGATTTTGAATTTCATTTTTTTCTGTGCGTTTTGACGAATTTTGAGACATTAGAAAGATTTTTCCTCATTTCTCTCTGCTTGTCCAATTTTTAACATTTCCAACACCAGGAAGTATAGGCCTTTTCCTAAAGTCCTTATCGAGCCTCTAATATGTAAATCGACAAATAAAAAGATGGACGGACATTGCAAGATCCTCTTAGAATTCTTAGATAATTTTTGTTATAATGTTACAAAGAAATTTTATATCCGAACTTTTTTTTCCAAAAAAATCTTTGTTCTATACTTTTCCAAAAAAACCCAAAATTCGCCTTACCCATTACTTAAATAAAAAAATATCTTCAAAATTCTCTTACTTCCTTTAGTTCGGCCAACTTTCGAACATCTAAATCTCGCATAGCATCAAAATCATCGGTAGTAAGTTCGTCCGGTGGTCGATAAGGACCTGTTGATACTGGTAATTTTAAGGTGGGATTAAAAATTTCATTAATTACACGCATAGCTTCAGATTCTGTCTCCACTACCGGTTGAACGTTAGAAGGTTTACGAGCAGCGGCCGCTTTTTGGCGGCGCTATATAAAATAACACACAAAATTTTAAATCCTTTTATAAATTATAAAATTATATATAATAGGTGTACTTTTTCCAAATCATCAAAAGAAATAGCATGTTCACTGGTCATTTTTATTATAATTATAAAATCCTTTTTCTATAAAAATTTTACACTTTATATTCCAAATGTTTTTTTTTTTTGATGAAACACTTTATATTCCGTTGACTTTTAAAATATAACTAAAATCATATTTGTCTTTACATCTTTAATTTAATGATCGACACTTTGTAAATCAATTTTATTTAGAAAAACATTATTTGATTTACAATTTTGACACAAATTTTCACATAAATATTTAGTTTTACATTTGTACAAACATATGTATTTATGTAATGACAAAAATTCACCTATAAAAATGAAACAAGTAAGAAAGTATAGACGGGCGTGACCGACCATATGATACCCTACACCAGTTATGAATATTAAATGTGATTTATTTTTCATAATAAAGCATTTATCTTCAATATGAACTTGTTCCGATACATTTAAGCAATTTATGGATGAAAAACTAATTTTCTGAAAGAGGTTTTATAGGGGGGCTAGGGGCAAATATGGACCAAGCCCGATAAAATTTTGTAAATATATTGATATTTACATAGTATTTTATTGTGCTGAATTTCATCGCGATATTTGTGTTTATAAGTTAATTTTGGACATTCAAGTAATTTTCTGAAGGGGACTTTGTATGGGAGCTAGGGTCGAATGAGGCCCGATCTCTATGAAATTTGGCAAGGTCATCAAGGCTTGTATAAAACTTAGTTGTGCTTTTTATCAATATACAGGTATGTTTAACATAATTATGAGCTCAGAAGCCCTTTTCGGGAGGTTCTGTTGTATGGGGGCTAGGTGAAATAATGGACCAAGGCTTTGTCCTTGGGCCGAAAAAAGAGTGTGTGCCAAATTTCATCCAATTATCTTGAAAATTGCGACCTGTACCTTGCGCACAAGGTTTACATGGACAGCCAGCCAGCCAGACGGACATAGCTTAATCGACTCAGAAAACGATTCTAATACTTTTGGTATACTTTCAGGTGGGTATAGAAAGAATATTTTTGTATGTTACAAACATCAGCACAAACCCAATATACCCTCCCCACTAAAGTGGTGTAGGGTATAAAAAGTTCTTTTAATTTTTATTGAGTTAATGCGGTACATTCAACTTGCTCTTGTCACACCCCCGTTTTCTGAATGGGTCTGGCTAATTTTGCATTATGATAAATGTCATTACATTTTAATCGATTTTTGAGTTATTTTGGATTGAATTTGTTTTTATATGTACTTTTTATTTACTTAATTTCTTTTTGCAATCGATTTCCTTAATATAATTTATGTTTGTACAGTAAAAGTTTGTTAAAAAAAGATATTGCAAAAAACCTAAAAAGCTAAACTTTTTTAGTTGATATTATTATTTATTTAATAATTTCGATTTTAACATATTAGATTAAGTTATCAAATTTAAATCACAAAATCCCTCAATAATTTCTTTACTACCCTTGCAAACCTAGCAAAAGTAGTTATAGTTAGCTAGAACACACCAAAATAATTAAATTTATACAAATTTGCTGATTTAACAGTAGCTTTACAATATGATTATTAAAGGCTTGGAGTTTATAACAGCACTTTATATTAAATTTACTACTATTGCAAATATACTACATCCTCTTTAATTGAACGATTCTTCATTTCACATACATTTTACGGTATTTTATTCATGCTACACTAGATGTAAATACTCATAGTACATGATTTACTATCACAGCTGCATCAATCGAACGACAAAATACTGTCTCAATCTAATAAAACAACATAATGTTGTTTGTATCAATCGAAAAGAAATCAAACTAAAATGTTAATGCTTTATAGCCAAAAGATAGATTTATGCAAATGAAGTGCACCAACAAAATACTTTTTAATAAGAAATTAAATAAAAAATTTGCAAATTTCAAATTCCACAACCACACACAACACTCTTCAATGAATTACATGAATTAAAACCGAAAAAGCAATTTAGAATATTCTGGTCAATGTCTTGATAAATAATTTTTCAACAGATGTAATAAAAAAAGAGATTCTAAATTAAAATATATTTATAAATTTAAATAAATATTTTATTGTATAAATCATGTTTGTATGTTTAATAAGGCAAAGGAAAGGGTACGTTAAATTTATAAAATTAAATTATAATTCAGGAGCCCACTTAATTATGTATATTAGGGTGATCCCAAAATGGAAATCGCCGATGTT